GGCACAAATCACAGGGAACACTGAGAGGCCCATCCTGTCGTTCACCTTATCTCTCCTCTGCTGCTCCTTCTGCTCGCTCTTCCTCTCCACCGACCTCCGTTCTTCCACTCGCGCTTCGTGCTCCTGCTGTAGAGAGGCCACCTCTTTCTCTGTGTCCGCGTTCACTTTACACATCCGGTTCTGTACCTGTAACACACACACACACCACATGGACAGTTCACTTTACACATCCAGTTTTGAACCTGTAACACACACACACACCACATAGACAGTTCACTTTACACATCCGGTTCTGTACCTGTAACACACACACACACCACATGGACAGTTCACTTTACACATCCAGTTCTGAACCTGTAACACACACACCACATGGACAGTTCACTTAACACACCGGACTCTGTACCTGTAACACACACACATCACATGGACAGTTCACTTTACACACCGGACTCTGTACCTGTAACACACACACACACCACATGGACAGTTCACTTTACACATCCGACTCTGTACCTGTAACACACACACCACATGGACAGTTCACTTTACACATCCGGTTCTGTACCTGTAACACACACACCACATGGACAGTTCACTTTACACATCCGACTCTGTACCTGTAACACACACACACACACCACATGGACAGTTCACTTTTTTATTATTATTTTTATAGTGGAGGGTTTTACGGCACTCGCAACTGCATAAGGTCATATGAGCGCCAAGGGGTGCATGTCAACAGAGAGAAGTCTTTACAGGGAATCAGGCTGTCTCTGCTCACCTCTCTAGCTTCAACAGCACAAGGTCTGCTTCGACTATCAAGGCCCCCCGGAAACAGCAGGTCACAAGAGAGTGACAAACATACAAAAAAAGTAGAGGAAAATTACAATAGTAAGGATCAGGAAAGAAAAAGCAGCAGTTCTCTGTTGTAGATCAGGCACAGTTATGAGCGTGACATGAGTCAGCCCATTTACAATTCTACTATGCTTGAACGAGAAATGTCCCCCCTTTGGGAATGGCCTAAAGACACTACAGTCAGTGGCACTGCCCGGGGGGGGGGGTACAGTTCACTTTACACATCCGACTCTGTACCTGTAACACACACACACCACAGGGACACACATGAGCAGGGCATGCAAGAACCTAAAGCAACAGAAACACGTTCAAATACGACACAAACATATAGCATCCAGGGATATATGGGGCTCTTGTGGTCTAGAGGTTAAGGTGTTTGCCTCTCATTCAATAGGTCCCAGAGTTCGAATCCGGATAGGGACAGAAAATGTTCTTCTCTCACATCCTTTCCTGCTCTCTAACATATTCTCTTGTCTGTTTTTGTCTCCACTTTCTGCCCCTACCCCTTCACCTCCTTTGTTATCTCCCCAGGACTCCTGACTCTTTCTGCAAGTTGCCCACGTTAAAGATCTCTTGCTGGTCCAAAATCAATAGGAGTAGGCTTTGTCCGCCATCCGGGAGAAAATCAAAATTTCCTACCATCTGAAAATGTTTAATTAATGTGTCCCACATGCTCATATGGGTATTGAGTAGAAAAAGACCAATCAAAGGCGCCATTGAACCATTCAGTTACAAGAAGGGAATGTCACATAAAGAGGACAGGTTAGCAGGATTCTAAACATCACAGAATACAACACAGCTGGGGACCATTATTGCTTCTTTCTAACACATGTATTACACAAACTTTCAAACAATCAGCCATTACAAACGACACTGCGCTGTGACTGACCTGCTCCAGTTCAGCCTTGACCTCTTGCGCTGTGTCTCGCGTATGCTCCATCTGTCCGTCTAGGCGCTGCAATTTCTCGCTGTGGCGCCACAGAACGTTGCGACGAGATGAACTGATTGACCCCAGCTGTAGACAGAGAGAACAGCCACCATGTATACACGTATTAGTTGGCAAATCCTGGCTAGATGACTTTGTTGAGCCTTCTCCAAAAATTATGCCAAATAGATGCTGTCTATTGTATAACAAAGACAAATAGTCTCCTCCCACATAAAAACTGTAATATGCCTCATGCACCCAAGCACACACACACACACACAAACACAAGAGCACACACACATACACATGCAAAAGTGCAGGCATACACACACACATACACACATCAGTGCACACACAGACATACACACAAGTGCACACACAGACATACACACAAGTGCACACATACATACACACACACAAGCGCACACACACATACAAAGACACACAAACAAGAGCACACACACACACACACACACAAGTGCACACACACATACAAAGACACATAAACAAGAGCACGCACACACACACACACATAGACAAGTGACACACACACACACACACAAACACGGACACCTACCTCGGCAGCCTTCTGTTCCTCCCACGCCTCCATCTCTCGTTCCACGCGCAGCATCTCGGCCTGCTGGTGCGCAGCAAACGTCTTCTCCTCCTCCCCCAGCAGGCGCCGGGCCTCAGACAGCTGCTGCGCCTCCTGTTCACACGACAGCTTCTCCTGGGCCGAGCTGAACCCGCTGTCAACAGACACACATGACCCCATCAGAGCAAGAAAATAATGAATATGGTAACAATAATAATGATAAAAATAATAATAACAATAAAAATAGTAATAACAATGTAAAAAAAAGGACAACAATGATAATAATATCATTATTAATAATTCATGGCATTTATATAATGCATTTCAATCATTTACAATACTCAATGCACTTAACAAGACCCATCAATGGCATGAAAACACATCTTTCGCTCATTTAAAGTTTTGATGTTGGAACTACAGAAAAAGTAATTCAACATGATACAAAGTATCTATTCACAATGTCTAGTGCTGAAATAACACTCATCAACACCTCTATGGCAGGGTGCAAGACTTTGACAAGCATCATTTTGCAACAAGGCGTTTATCGGCGTCGTTCACAGAATCTCACTTTCCATCAAACATACAAGTAGAGAGAGGAACAGAACATCCTTTTTATCTACTGTAATAAGAATCCTGCAATTTTTGCACAGAGAAGACAAGCCGTTCATTCTAATGTTTCATTTAATTTATATGCCCTGTTTGAGTAAAGAAAAGCACATTGACACAGTACAGTCATTGAGAGCAAAAAATACCAAAACAGAGAGACAGAAACATTTTCCAGTGTGTGGTGCCATTATCTTCATACATCTACATAAAACTGCAGTTGGAGTATGAGTGAATTGAGTTCTCAGGTGGAAGGAATGGAAGGACGAAAAGAAAAGAAGTAAGCATTCCAACCACCTGACTGTCCTGTGTTTGCTCGTACCAGATGCAAATAGACCCGATATATATACCCTACATCTGTCTACAGAGTTTCAATATTATGTAAAAGTAGTGAGAGGGAGGGGAGGGGCGGGGGTGGGGGTTACTGTATGGAATTAGAAAAGGGTGATGTCTTTTGGCACCTGTACACACTGTGTGTTGTGGTCACTAAAAATGATATCCTCTGTTTAGGAAGTGTTGTTTGTCAGAATGTGTGTGTGTCTCAAAGTTTAGTGTGAGTGTGTTTATATTTTAGAAAGAGCTTTACGGCACTTGCAACACAATAAGGTTATATAAGTGTCGAAGATAAGAGGCATTACAAGAGAATAACAAACACAAAAAAAGGAGGAGAGATCAAGACGATAGATGTTTGATAGGAAAGAAGGAGCAAACCCCACCAGAGCACCACCGAGTGTGTGTGTGCGTGTGTGTGTGTGTGCGTGTGCATGTGTGTGCGTGTTTGTGTTGTTAAACTGTCTCACAATGAGCATTTTCTGTCTTTCGATTTGTCAACTGTGTGATAATTTTGCATTGCACAGCACTTACAGCCCTCTGGGGATTAGGTGTTATATAAATTCCCTTTATTACTGCTGTTGTTACTATTAGTATTATTATCATATAGACTCACAGGCCACACGTATTGGGAGTATTTTGGTCACACACATACATTCCTTTCACCACAATCAGCTGTCCAATGTTGTGTCGTTGGGAAAGACACTTAACACAAATTTCCCACTTGGCTCGGTCCTTTCAGAGATGGACGTTAAAACTCGGAGGTCCTGCTTTATAAATAACCTAACAGTGTAGATAACCGCATTAAACATACCATTTCACTATTTTTTCTTTCATCACAACGGTTAACCAACTCACCCGTTCTGTAGCCTGGCCTTGACCACAGCCTCATTCTCCTCCAGGTCGCCCCAGGCCTCCTCAATGGTGATGTTGTGCTCCTTGAGGCGAGACAAGCCCTGAGGAGGCGAGACGAGGCTTCGGGGTAAAGAGAGGTACATCGGCACAACAACAGCAGTTTACTGCTACCACAGAGTAAGATTGACAGACATTTACAAAAGCAGATAGTAAACAAATAAATGCTGCTAGCAGCACCCTCCAATTTGCTGCAAGGTATAAGCAGACAGACACACACACACACATATATACAAACACAGACAGGAAAACAGACAAACACAAACACTAAGAGGCAGACAAACACTTACACAAACACAGAGAGGCAGACAGACAAACACACACACAAATACCCAGCCACCCACACACTCACGGAGGGAAAGGGATGGAGGGAGGGGGAGAGAGAGAGAGGGGGGGGTGATGGGTGGGAGGGAGAAAAAAAGAAAGAAAGAAAAAAAGAAAGAATACACTGTATTTGCCATTCAACGCTGATAGAAACTCCTAGAAGGACAGGAAAGAAGCAACAGCCTCCAACCACTAACAGTAAAAAAATCAGGTTCAAATACAAGACACCATGCAGTGGATGAAATCTCCGTGAGCTTTCTCTGACCACCCAGGACAGCTTTATGTGACAAATGCTTACATGCAGTGCTGGGAGGACACAAAAAAAAGATGAAAAAGAGGAAGGAAAGGGGTCAAACTTTCCAGTTATCCTCGTAGGAAGACACATGCATGGAGAAGAAAAAAAAAGTACAAAGATATCAATAGAGGATAATTGCACTCAGTAACTAACCAAAA